CCTCAAAACACAATCATAAAAACAAAACAAAGAGAAAAAAAAAAAACATGAGTTTTCTAACATCATTATATGATTAGCTGCGAACGAATCATGGCTAATTAAGTGCGCTTGTGAAGGTAAGCCGACGACATGTTGTTCAACGCCGGCATGAACAGCCCCAATTGGCTGTTACTCGCCTCTTGGTGCTGGTGGTGTGGGCTCATGAGATGGGAAAAGTAGCCGGAGCCCGTGAAGTGGCCGCCGCTGGCGGAGGGGAAAAACTGGAGGTCTTGGCCGGAAAACGGCGACGGGAAGAGGGAGGGGCTGAGCATGGCGGCGGCGGCGCTGCCGCGCACGGTGGCCGGGCTGTGGTGGTTGTGCTGCCCCTCGTAAGTGGTGATCACCACCGACGGGTCCTGGGAAGACCGTTCGATTCGCTTCTTGACTCCACATTTCTGGCTCGTGCATCTGTAGTAACTCCTGTAATAAAACAATAAAAAATAAATAAAATAAGAATTTGGGAGAATTAATGTAGGCTAAAATTTATTTTTAGTACCCCATTTTTGTAAAAACGTCAAATCATATAAAACGTCATCAAGAATGATACACTAAGTTGCGACTTTAATCAAAACGCGCACAATAGCTAACATAGTGTACTAAAAATGACAACGAAAAATCATCACTTTCAGTACCCTATGTTGGTCATTGTACGAATTTTGATTCAAATCTCGTACAACAGAACACATTGTACTAAAAATGGCAACTAAAAATGATCACTTTTAGTACACTATGTTGTTTATTGTACGAATTTTAATTCAAAACTCGTACAATAGCCAACATATTATACTAAAATTGGTAACTGAAAATGATTTTTTTAGTACACTGTATTGATTATTGTACGAGTTTTGATTAAATTATCAACTTAGCGGACCATTTTTAATGACTCTATGGACCTTTTATTAAAAACGACTAAGGACCATATTTGAAATTCTGCAAGGAGAATATATATAGTTGAAATTCTAGTTATTTAATTTGAATAGTTTGATATATATCAATCAAGTCACGGCACAAAGAGGTTTTGTGAAAATATATAATGTGTGTGTGTTTTGAGTTAATCAAGCCATTGTTTTAGGAGGAGAGGGAGGAGACAGCGTATATTGGTGAGAGAATTTGAAAATAGTTATTTACTTAAGGGACATTGATTGAAGAGAATATATTGATCTAAATTAATTAAGTTATTAGTTAATAATATCTTAAGTTGATCAAAATATAAGTTTGTTCTTCATGTGCTGGATGTGTGTCTGTGTGTGGTTATATATATATAATATATGTACCTGGGAAAAGGGCTGTTTTTGACTGCTTTTTGGCCGTATTTTCTCCATCTGTATCCGTCTTCAAGATTGTCTACCTCGCTCTTGGTCATGAAGGCGAATCGCGGCTCCCTCTGCTTTTTTTCATCCTTCTTTTTCGATTTTCCGCTGCTCAAGATCAATCAATCACGGGTGAAAAACATATATATATATTGATGTATGTAAGTATATGGATGGATATAAAAAATTTTAAATTTTTAGGTCACAAGAATTTCTTAACTAATGAATTCTCAATCAATGTGTTTAATGATGTATAGTAAGCGTTTTTCACTAATATCTTTGCAACAAGTGTAGCTAGATAGATAAAACACAAAAATTACGGCCAATTATGCTAGGGTTTCTTGTCCCTGATTTCCCATCAATTTTTTTTTTTTTTTTTT